CTCTTCCTCCCTCCCTTCCTCCTCCTCCTCCCCCTCCTCCTTCGAGCACGAGGGCCCGCCTTCTGCCCCGTACCCGCGGCCACGAGCCGGCACCCGTCCACCTCCAGGCACCTCGCGAGGCAGGCCTTGGGCGGGGCGGGGGGGGCGCCGCCGGGGCCCGCTGGGCGGCGGCAGCTGCCCAGCGGAGGAGCACGGGCAGGAGCCCTCTCGTTGCAAGGGCTGGGCGACGGCGGCCGTGATCCGCCCTCTCACGGCACAGGAGGCTTCCGTGGGCTCTTTGAGGTTGTCCCGCGGAGGCCTTCCAGCCGATGCGCCTCGTCGGGAGCTTTCAGAAGGGCCGCGGGCAGGAGCGCCCCACCGCCTCTGAGCATCGCTTGACCGATCCGTATCCCCACGAGCGTGGCCTGGGCCCTGGGCCCCACTGGCCGATCTACCCCCCGGGATGGGGACACAGGCTGTTCCCTTCGAGCTTCGAGGGGCATATCCCCAACTGGGGTAGTGGGGTGGCGGGGATCGGGCTGGGGATGGGGATAACTAGTGATCGGAGAAACGATACTGAACCTCGTACAAGTGCGAAAAGGTCACGGCGGGATGCTTCTGCATCCTTCGGATGAGAAGGAGAAGGCCTTCTCAGAAGGCGGTACTACTTCTTAGAAACCCTCGCGCCTTCTGAGAAGTTTCCCGTGTCTTCGAGGAGAGCTTAGAAAACTGTTCGGAAGGCCGGGGAGCTTCGGAGCCTTCTCAGCAGGCCCGCCCCTTCCTTCTTCCCCCCCAGACTCGCCGCCGAGACGAGGACCCCTGGAGGTATCGACCCCATCCCTGGGACTCGTTCTTCTTCCCGAGCAGTACTTTCACGGTCCTGGTGCCTGGCGAGGGCACCCAGAGGTCGATGGTTTTCAAGGGGCCCTGGGACACACAAATAAATACACACAAATAACAGGATTTCACATATGTTCCTATATTTTCTGGGTTTTTGTCTTCCCCCCCACTTCCCATATTTTCCCATATGTTCTGGGGAATCGACGATTAATTGTGTCTGTGTGTTTCTTTCCCTCCTGAGTTTTCCTCAACGGCAAAGGAGGCAGGGGAGAAGGAGGAGTCCGCTGCCCCCCAAGAGGGTTCTCCACGCGACCGCGCCCCCAGAGGCCGAAAGTGGCCGAGAACCTGCCGTCGCAACCCTGTCACGACGAAGAGGAGGTGGGGGATCGTCAGAGACCTGGGAGGCGCCAGAGGCTGACAAACCCGTGGGGCTGACGACGACGTCCTGGAGTATCGGGCCGGGCGAAAGGGGGGGATAGCAAGGGGCGGGTTTGAGAATCGGCTCACGCAGCTGGTTTTCCCAGCGCCTCCCGGCGCCGGCAGGCGCCCATGCATCGAGGAATGAGCCCAGCGGCGGGCCGAACCAGCTGCATGCAGCAGATTTCGTACCCCCCCCTTTCCCTATCCCCCCCTTTCGTTCGGCCCGAGAGCACCGCGGTGGTCTCGCACTAACAAAACGCTGCCGGCGCGGCCAGCGTCCCCGAAGAGGCGCCCGCACGCGCGGTGACGGGCAGCCCTCCAGTGCGCGGCCCCAAGGCACCTCGGAGACCACTCTGTGCCCTTCGCGGTAACGCCCGCTGCCACTACACTCGACAAAGATAGTAAGGATGCGCGGTAAGGATGCAAGGGCCTTGGAACGCCATGTTGACGTCTTCCGTGCGGAGCGCAGCAGAGTGCCGAAGGATACCGAATACCAAAGGGGCAGGGATGCAAGGGTAGCCTTGACTGTATTCCCCCCCCCCCCACGGCAACGCCACGAACCGCGCCAGCGCCGTCTGAGCAGTTCTGGGTATTCTCAGACGGCGCCAGCGCGAGTCGTGGCCACCACGTCGCCAGCACCCTGCAACGCCCGTCATCGCCAGGAGATAAAAAAGTGCCTCCCGAGGGACGCCCGAGGACTCTGACGCCAAGAGGGGCGCCAAGCCCAGAACCCCGACGTCATGATTTGTCCACGACGTCGACCCCCAGAGATTTCGACCTATTCCCCGGGACCGGTTTCTCATCCTGAGTCGTTGTTTGACGGTCCCGAGGCCCGGTGAGAGGTCGCAAACGATGAAAAGCCTCCACAAGAGCTCCCAATTTCGCGCTTCGCGCAGCGGGCAGCGCGAAGCGCGAATAGCTTCGCGCTCTCGCGCCGCCTCCCAGGGGAGAGGAGGAGGAGGATGAAGAGGAATCGGAGCCGAACCGCGAAGCGCGAAGCGCGAACAACTTCGCGCCCTGGAGGGCACCCTTGCTCCATCTCCTTTTTGTTGTTCGAGACGCCCGACGTCTGGGGAAGGCACATCGCAATTCAGCACGACGCAGCACAGCACAGCCCTCGGCACGGTACATCAAGATCGATACACTCAGCATTGCATTTGCCCGTCGCCCAATCAGGTGTCTTTGAAGCGTTGCCATGCCTTACAGTTCTGTATTCCTTTCTGGGTTAGTGGGTCGATCATGTTTTGTTCGAGACGCCCGACGTCTGGGGAAGGCTCTGACGCCAAGGGGCGCCGAGGGACGCTGGGAGGCGCGCCTCCAGCGGGAGCGAGCGAACGAACCACCGGTGCGGACAGGTGTCCGGGTATTTTTTCTTTTCTTAGGGGGGGGCGCTCTCACGGATTCCAGCGTGATCTTCCCCGAGGCCTTGGGAAAAAATCTGCAGTGCAACGAGTGAAGCTACTGTTTATAGATCAACTAAAAAATCGCACGGGAAATCAACGGCCACTCCCCTCGAGCCGCGATCATCGCCGTTGCTGGGCTCCGTGAGACCAGGTGGGTGCGGCCGTAGCCGCGAGAGACCGCGGGGTGTGTTGAGACACGCACCAGAGGCCTCCTAGATGGGGTCCAAGTGGATGCAGGTCGTGGGTATCCCCCTACAGGCGGATTTTGGAGGGGGAATGAAAAATAAACCAAAAATACACAAAAACGATAAAAATAGTCGAAAAAACGACCCCAGAGTATGTTTCTATTTCTGTATATTCCTCCTGTAGAGGGACATGCCCGACTTAAGAGTAAATGGGGTCGGAGGATCTAGCCGCATCGCCGATACATCGGCGATGCATCGCCAATGCATCGGCGATGAATCGGCGATGCACTGGCGACGTCGGCGGTGCATCAGCGACGTCGGCGTGGAGAAGATTGGGCCCCACATCGAGCCGCATCGCCGATGCATCGCCCATGCATCGGCGATGCGGCGCGATCCTCCGACCCATCTACTCCGACCCCATCTAGGAGGCCTAGAGGCACGCGACACGTACAAAAAGCTATTTAGGCCAACTTGTGAAATCCAAAACCCAGTTAGCGGAGCACTAGAAAGGCCTTCCAAAGCCTCATGCAGGAGCTCTGAAAACTCTTGGAAGGAGCTTCCAAAGGACCTTCTGACAAACTTGACGGCACACGTATTGGGAGACAGCCATAAGGGGCCTGCCGCAACACTCTGCCAGCTCAGGCGGGTCGCTGCGGGGATTCCTGCCCGAGACGGAATGAGCTCCGAGGCTACCCTTCGGTGCCGGCCTCTACTGTTCTTCGGGGACGTCTAAGATGAGGGGCGTCCAAGAGGGGGGAAGCGCAAATCGTGGCTGGCGGCATGTGCGCGGCCCAAGGAGGGACCGGGGACGTAATGAACTAAGCAGAGGCGCCATGAAATCTGGGAAGATATCATGGCCCCCGTCATGATATCCACCCCCCCCTAGTCATCTCCCCCCTCTTAGCCGCCCCCGAAACCTCACTCCTCCTCCTCCCTCCTCCTCCTCCTCCTCCTCCTCCTCCTCCTCCTCCTCCTCCTCCTCCTCCTCCTCCTCCTCCTCCTCCTCCTCCTCCTTGGCTCTCAGAGAGCTATCCGGGAAGGAGGCGGCAGAGGAGGCACCCCGCCTCCAGCGGGAGGTCCACCCCGAGGAGCACGTCGGCGCCGGCGCACTCCGCGCCGCGGTGGCGCAGCGCGGCCCAGGCGGGCAGCGCGCCCGCCGCGGCGCACCGGCAGTCCGCCGCCGCCGCCAGCGTCTCTCGGGTCGGACTAGAGGGGGGGGAGGGGCAGCTACTAGCCAGCCTAGGTCCGATCCCCCTCACTGAGGCTGACAGGCCCCAAGAGCGATGACAAGCTTAGGGATGCGCCCTCGGGGACGGAGAGGATCCTCAAGATCGGCATCGAGCTCAGGTGACGCGGATCGTAGGGGCAGGGATGCGTTCTAGGCTGGTACACTGCGGGGTTAGCAAGTGAGTACAACCACATCGAGGACACACTCTGGAACACAGAAACCAGCCTCGTTTTGGTTATAAAATCCATATAGCGTCCCAGGACGGCCAGATCGACCACAACCAACCCAAGCGCTCATGTCGACGTCGGTGGGTTCTCCCCAGAGGGACCCGTCCGACAAATCCACTCAGTCGTGGTTGTGGTTCTTTGTCCAGGCCAGCCACAACTGGGGGAGCTGTGGTCCTTACCCCCCTGGGAGACCCATCGATTTCGACACCCGTCTAGGGAGATCGTCGATGCGATGGGTTCCCCCAGGGGTGTAAGGACCACAGTTCCCCCAGTTATGGCTGGTCGACTGTTGTGCCCTGATAGGGGCCAGCATCGGATCGGAAAGTTCTACGAGAACGGCAAATCTGCACCGCACCATGTTTGGATTCCCTCCTGGCCCCGCCCCAACGCGGTGCGGTGCATACAGTCGGACTTGATTGGAGAGGACACGCGAGAGGACAAAAGACCCTTTCCGAGGGGCACACTGCCATAGGAATGTAGGAGGCATGGGTCGCGAGACACAGGACACAAGGGTACCCTTGACTTAGCAGGATCGACCTACTAATCAGGGCCGCCTGTACGAGAACGGCGACTCTGCACCGCACCATGTTTGGATTCCCTCCTGGCCCCGCCCCAGCGCGGTGCAGTGCACAGCTGTTTGGCTCCAGAGGCCGGGAGAGCACGCACCGCACCATTCCTGGGTCAAGGCTCGACGACCGCTCGGGAGACGCGGGGGCAAGGAGGGCCAGCATCGGATCGGAGAGCCGAATCGAAATCGAAATCCAGTCGAACATGGTGGAATCGGGGCCCAAATCTGCGATCGCCCCATCGGCTCGGAAGTCGGAAAGGGGAAGCCAGGTCAGAATAGGATCAAAAATCTTTGCTGAGGCAACTTTCGGTGGCAACGCATGGGAGCCTCCCGTGCCTGGCTGGCTCTTGCGAGCCGGCGCTAAATCGACGCTGATCGACGCTAACCGACGCTGGCCGACGCTAAGTCGGCACTAATCGACTCTGAATCGGCGCCGTCTCATCGATTACCCAAGACTAGCGCACGCTTCTGCATTCGAAAGGCAGAATCCGAACACATACAAGGCTCCCACAATTGGCAACTGGAGGCAACTCCTCGGAGGCGACAACGGTGCCATTGAGTCAGATTGGGCCATAGATTAAGCCCCGCAGATCAGGCCCAGGAAAAGCTTTTGAGCCATACAAGCCTGAGAAGGGGGCACATACCCGATTTAGCAGCCATGGAACCAGATTGGGCTGGATTCGGCCCCACTTTGCAAGGGCTCCCAACTTCGCGCTTCGCGCTGCGCGAAGCGCGAAATGCGAATAACTTCGCGCTCTTGCGCCGCCTCCCCAGGGAGAAGAGGATGAGGAGGAATCGGAGCCGAACCGCAAAGCGCGAAGCGCGAATAACTTCGCGCCCTCGATGGCGCCCTTGCTTTGAGCCGGAATAAGCCGAATTGAGCAGGATCGAAGCCAGATTAAGCGGCACTGCTCCAGCTTAGGCCGCGTTAGACCACGCCGTCGCCGATGCTGGATTTCACCGCCCAGGTGTTGCCCCCGAATTTTAGGTCGGGCATGTCCCCCTAAAGGTGGATGTTGGACGAAAATCCAAGATACTCTAGAAAGATTCAAAAATGGTCAAAAATGGTCAAACACGCAGACAAATCAAAAAATGTCAAAATGGATCTTGAACGAAAATGAAAAACACTCTACTAAAAGTATTCCAAAATTGTATTAAAACACACTCCAAAAATAGTCCCCAGAGTATTGTTTTGCTATTTTTGAATATTCCTCCTGTAGAGGGACACGCCCGACTGAACCCTAAGCAGAGAAACCCCCACTGCGCCGTCGCACCAGAGCGGCCGGGCGCGCGAGCACACGACGCGAGGCGCGCCTGCTTTAGCCAGCGCGTGCGGGAATCGTCGTCGCCGAGGGTTCGCCAATCCGCGCGCGCTCCTGGTTTGCCCTGCAGGGAGGGGGGAGGGCTTCTTAGAAGGAGACTGCTTCTCAGAAGGCGCCGGCCCTACATGTATAGATAAGGCCCGCGCCTTCTAAGAAGCAGGGGTGCTTCTAAGAAGCCCTCCCTCCTCCCCCCACCCCCTCTCTGCGCCTCCCAGCGCCATAGGCGCCGATGCATCGGGGAAAGCACTCGGCGGCGGGCCGAAACCGGAACCGACCCCTAGCAGACCATCCCCTTCCGTGGTGTCACCCTCGCATGTCAAGCTTCTCTCCGGCCGCATGCATACGCCTTGGGGCGAGACGAGGGGGACATCACGGAAGGGGATGGTTTGCTAGGGGTCGGCTAGGCCGCCCCTGATGCACACCCCTGTCCCTATCACCCCCTTTCGCCCGACCCGAGTCTCGGGCGCCGCGGGCGTGAACGTGAACCTCACGAACATCCCGTACCTGCAAAGGGGGGAGGAGCCACACCTCCCGTGCACGTGTGAAAATCACGACGGGAAGTTGGAACAAATGTTCGGCCTCTCGTGGCCTCGTCGTGAGCATCAGAGCGGAACGGTAACCTCGCAGACATCCCAAACCTGCGGGGATGGGGGGAGGGGGGAGAAGCCCTGCTCCTTCTCCACCCAGCCTCCCGGCTGCCCTTCCTCCCAAGGGAGAGGAGGAGGAGGGGTACCAGTGCAAACCCTGACGAACCAACGATGTTGCGCTAGATCCTCCCTCCAAGTTCCCCTTCATAGGTCCTTACCAGAATTTTATACTCATTGCGGAAAGTGCCCCATTGAAAGACAACCGTCTGAGACTCCTCAATCATGCCAAAACTCAGTGTCTGGAACTTCGACGTCGCGAATCAACTTGACCTCTGAGTTCTGGCAATCCTAGATCGTGCCAGAACGCCTTTCCTGGAACTTCAGCACCGCGAGTCAACGGTACTGCTGCGCCCTGACAGTCCTAAATGGTGCCAGAACACTATTCCTGGGAATTGGACCCTACAAAGCCTTGAAAATGCTGCAAGCGGATAGGACGAATGGAACCACAACGCTAACGCGAAAGCCACAAATTGAAGGGAAACCGCCCTCAACCCTCGAAAATGACACAAACTCTTAAAACGAAGATGCGCGGCGCTAAGGCGAGAGACACAATTTCAAAACCGCCCGCCCTTCATCCGCGAACCTCTGGCAACTTTTCAGTTTAAGAATCATTTCTCGAAGCTCTTAGAACCGTTCCATCCTAGGAGCCGTGAAATTAGCATGCGCGTCGCTAAAGCGAGAGCCACATGTTTGAAAAGGATCTGCTGTCCATCATTAAAACTGTCACCGACTTTCAAAACGAGCGTGCGCGGCGCCAAGGCAATAGCCACGTCCTGAAAACCACCTGCTCTCCTCCAAAACTGCTCAAAACGTTGAAGACGAATGTGCGCGGCACTAAGGCGAGAGCCCAGTTTTGAAAACCAGCCGCCCTCAATCCTTGAGCATGTTCCAGCGAGCTTCAGGATCATGGCTGGTGAGGAAGTCTCCGGCGAAACGCCCCGACCGCCCTACCGACACGCCTGGGGGTGCCACAGGGCACTATTCGTAAGGACGAGAGATGAGGATGAGGACGAGAAGGAGAAGGGAGGGAAGGGGGGAGGTGCGCCCTCGCACCACGTGAAAATCGTACCGTGCGTACGGGGCCGAGAAACACGACGACATCATCCTCCTGGCTCCTCCTGGCTCCTCCTCCTCCTCCTCCTCCTCCTCCAACTCCTCATCATCATCATCATCATCATCATCATCATCAGCAGCAGCAGCATCAGCAGCGGCATCAGCATCATCATCATCATCATCAGCATCATCATCATCATCATCATCATCATCATCATCATCATCATCATCATCATCATCATCATCATTATCATCATCAGCATCATCATCATCAACAGCATCAGCATCATCAGCATCATCATCGTCATCATCGTCATCAGCATCACCAGCATCATCATCCGCAACAGTCTCAGCATCAGCATCAGCATCAGCATCATCATCAGCATCATCAGCATCAGCAGCATCAGCATCATCATCATCATCAGCATCAGCATCACTATCAGCATCAGCATCATCAGCATCATCAGCATCATCAGCATCATCAGCATCATCAGCATCATCAGCATCATCAGCAGCATCATCATCGTCATCAGCATCGTACCGTACCTACGGGGCCGAGAAACACGACGGTGTCATCCTCCTGGCTGCTCCTCCTCCTCCTTCTCCTCCTTCTCCTCATCATCATCATCAGCAGCATCATCACCATCACAATTATCATCATCATCATCATCATCATCATCATCATCATCATCATCATCATCATCATCATCATCGTCATCGTCATCATCATCAGTATCATCAGCAGCAGCCTCAGCATCAGCACCAGCATCAGCATCAGCATCATCAGCATCATCATCGGCATCATCATCAGCAGCATCATGATCAGCAGCAGCACCACCGTCAATTATCATCCTCATCATCATCATCAGCAGCAGCATCATCATCATCAGCTGCATGGTAATCATCATCATCATCACTACCAGCAGCATCACCATCACCATCATCATCAGCAGCATCGTCGTCATCAGCATCATCATCACCACCACCACCATCAGCATCAGCATCAGCATAATCAGCATCACCGTCATCACCATCATCATAATCATCAGCATCATCATCAGCATCATCGTCAGCATCCTCATCATCATCGTCGTCGTCATCATCATCATGATCATCATCAGCATCATGATCATAATCCTCATTTTCATCCTCATCATCATCCTCATCATCATCCTCATCCTCTTCCTCATCCTCTTCCTCATCCTCCCTTCCTGCTGCTGCTGATCCTCCTGGTGACAACTCCTCCTTCTCGTCACTACGATCCTCATCCCCCGACCCTATCTCCTCGCCTCCGTCGCCCAATACTCCGCCGCCCTCCCGCCTCACTTCCCCCCCCTGCTCGGCCGACCTGGGGTCTGTGGTCAGCTCCTCCCCGACCGCCTCCCCGACCGCTGCGCCGATGGCGCTGTAGCAGTGGCCATGCAGGCGGTTGCAGTGGCAGTCGTTGCTGGTCTTGACGGAGTGAGCCTCGAGCGTCACTGTCCCGGCGGCGGTGATCTCCGTCGGGAGCTCCACATCCTGGAAGCAGTCCCAGTAGCCGCAGTCGAAGTCGTCAGCGGCGGGGGGATTGCACTCTCCCAGATCGAAACCCCCAACACTCACTGCGGGCAGCATCTCGGAGTCCTCGGCCATGTCGACCATGGCCGCGGAGACGTGGACGCGGTAGGCGACCTGGCGGTTCAGGCGGACGGTCGCTGACTCCCTGCAGCCCTCGTCCGTGTTGCAGCTCCCGACGTGGCCGACGTAGGCCTCCACCACCTCGTCGGGCAGCGGCTCCCCGCGGCCCCCTGCACGGCCCGGCGATCCCACCGCCGCCGCGGCGCCCACCGCAGCCGCGGAGGGCCCCGCGGGCAGCGCGCCTGTGGGACCCACTGGGGTCAGGGTGAACCTCACGTACATGCCGTAGCTCTGCTCGGAGGCGTTCTCCCCCATGGCCCTGTACATGTCCGCCAGAGGCGCCGCGTGGCAGGCGCCGTCGCCGCACGCACAGTCGTCGTTGGTGCGCACCGCGTGGGCCTCCAGGAGCACCCAGCCGCCGCGCACCGCCTCGGAGGGCACCGCCTCGCCCTGGAAGCAGTCGGCGAGGCCGCAGTCGAAGTCGCTGGCGGGCGCCGGGTTGCACTCCCCGAGCTCGCGGCCGCCCACGGCCACCGACGCCAGCTTCTCCGTCTCGTCCTCCATGTCGATGAGCGCCGTGGACACGGCGGCGACGTACTGCGCGCGCGGGTCCACGCGCACCCACGCCGTGGCGCGGCAGCCGCCCGCGGTGTTGCAGCTGCCAGCGTGGGCCACCCAGCCCACCACGGGCTCCCCGTCCGGCGCCCGCTCCGCCGCCTCCCCGCGGGGCGGCGGCGGTGGTGGCGGCGGCCCCGCGGGCGCGGGCTCTCGCCGCTCCGGCTCGGGTGTGAAGGTGAGCTTCAGGAACATGCCGCAGGACGTGCCCAGAGGCTCCAGGCCACGGGCCTCCAGCAGCGCGGCCACCGCCCGGTTGTAGCAGAGGCCCTCCTCGCGGCTGCACAGACAGTCGTCGTGCGTGCGGACGGCGTGGGCCTCGACGGTGACCTCGCCGCCCGCGGTCGCGTCCCCGGGCACGAGCTCCTCGGCGAAGCAGTCGAAGAAGCCGCAGGCGTAGTCGCTCTCGGGGGACGGGTTGCACTCCCCGAGCGCGCGCCCGCCCACGGAGATGGACGCCAACTTCTCGGAGTCGTCCTCCATGTCCACCAGCGCCGTGCTCACGCGCACCCTGCTCGGGGGGGGGGGGGCAGCGCACCTCCTCGTCATGCCCTCCATATTGGTCGTCCTCCTCACTCCTCTGTCTCGTCCTCCTCCTGCTCTTCCACCTCCTTCTCATCCTGGTCCTCGTCCGCCTGACCCTGATCCTCCTCCTCCTCCTCCTCCTCCTCCTCCTCCTCCTCCTCCTCATCATCATCATCATCATCATCATCATCATCATCATCATCATCATCATCATCATCATCATCATCATCATCATCATCATCATCATCATCATCATCATCATCATGATCATCATCATCATCATCATCATCATCATCATCATCATCATCATCATCATCATCATCATCATCATCATCATCATCATCATCATCATCATCATCATCATCATCATCATCGATCATCATCAGCAGCATCATCATGACATTCAGCAGCATCATCAGTATCACAAGCATCACATCATCATCTCACCACCACCAACACCACCATCATCAGCATCATCAGCATCAGCATCGGCATCAGCATCATCAGCAGCATCAGTATCATCACCATCACCATCATCATCAGCATCATCAGCCTCAGCATCAGCATCACCATCAGCATCAGTATCAGTATCATCATCAGCGTCATCATCATCAGCAGCATCGACAGCCTCAACATAATCATCAGCATCAGCATCAGCATCATCTCCTCATCACCACCACCATCACAATCAGCATCAGCATCAGTATCAGCATCAACAATATCAGCATCAGCATCAGCATCAGCATCATCATCATCATCATCAGAAGCTTTATCATCATCAGCATTACCAACACCATCATCAGCATCAGCATCAGCATCAGCATCATCATCAGCATCATCATCAGCATCGTCAGCATCATCATCCGCCTCCTTCTCCTCATCATCATCATCATCATCAACATCATCAGCATCGTCATCATGGTTACCAGCGTCAGCCCCATCATCTTACCATCATCATCAGCAGCATCATCATCATAGCACCATCAGCATCATCAGTATCATCAACATCATCATCGTCATCACAATCATCAGTATCATCATCAGCAGCATCATCAGTATCATCCTCACGATTGTCGTCATCACCATAAGCAGCAGCAACCATCATCAGCATTATTATCATCATCATCATCAGTACCATCATCATAAGCAGCATCGTCATCATCATCGTCATCGTCATGATGATCATCATCATCATCATCATCATCATCATCAGCCACATCATCGCACCAGCATCATCAGCATCATCGTCATCAGCATTAGCCGCAGCAGCCTCATCACCATCATCCATTACCAACCCTTCATGATCCCCCATCTTACTACAAGCATCCACCATTACTATCCCGCAGGCTCTACTTCCATGACACCCCTTCATTATCAACCTCCTCCTTCTGTGTCACCATGCGCTCTGCTCTTCCCGCTCATCTCTCTCGCATCTCCTCACCATCACCACCACGACCACTACCACCAACACAACTATCGCCATTAGTAGCATCAGCATCGTCATCATTATAAAACCGGATATCATTTCAGCATCATCATCGGCATCATCAGCATCAGCTTCAGCTTCATCATCATCATCATCATCATCATCATCAGCATCAGCATCATCATCATCATCATCATCATCATCATCATGGTCCTCGTCATCATCCTCATCGTCAGCATAATCATCAGCATCATCATCAGCATCAGCATAACCACAACCATCATCATGATCATCCTCGTCGTCAGCAGCAAAAGCATCAGCATCAACCTCAGAATCAACATCATCATCAGCAGCATCATCATTATGATCATCATCATCAGCATCGTCATCCTCATCATCAGCAGCAGCATCAGCATAATCATCCTCGTCGTCGTCACCAGCATTATCATCACCAACATCAGCACCAGCATCATCAGCAGCAGAATCATCGTCACCGTTATCGACATTACGGTATCGTAACCTCATCATAACATATATATATATGTATATACTAGAACCATCGCGCGCTTCGCGCGCGTTCAGGTTCTAGCAGGCCCCAGGCCTTGACAAATTCACTGCTCCACTGCAGTAGTGGACCACAGTCCACGCATGCCAATCTGCATTCCGAAAGGCCTTCGAGGAAAATGGTTGTGTAGGGGGGCGGATGCCGCACGAATCGGGTTCCCAGACGGCCCTCTGGGAGCATGGGTTTGGGCCTTCTTGGGGAGCCTGTTGGGGCGTGCCGTCGTCGTCGTCGTCGTCGTCGTCGCCGCCTATTGGGGCGCGCCGTCGTCGTCGTCGTCGTCGTCGTCATCTTCGTCGTTTCGTCGTCGTCGTCGAATCAAGAGGGCATTTTTGGCAACTTTGCGCGAAACAATCTGCGGAGGGCCGCGATAAGGCGACCAGTCATGCTCCCAGTCAACTTCCCAGACAGCTCTCCTGTAGAATGAGTTCGAAAAGGGTTTGGGAAACCCTATCAACAGCTTCGCCCGAGGCGAAGCCAGCTCTGTTGTACCGTAGTAGCGGTCGTCCCAGTAGTAAGAGGCGAGCCATCTCAAGCAGTGTTGGTACCGATGGCAAGTAGTACATTGCGCACTGAGGTGTAATCAGATCTGGGCGGCCGGCCGCTTGAGCCCAAACGGCCGCGGACACACGCTCTTTACCTCTCGCTTGTACCCCAGCTCACTTTAGACTCTGGGGGGAAGGAGACGAAGCGTGAGCCCGCCGCTTCTATACATCAGGCACAGCAGCTACTATGCTCCAAAAGGGCAGCAAAAGGGCATGGCCATACGGAAGGTGGACCCGCGCGCATGTTGCCTCGCCTGCATCTTACTGTGCATACGAGTGCTCCTCAGGCGGCTGCAGACCGAGATGTCTGGCCAGCCCGATGAGGAGTATGACGCTTAAGTCATGTTTGAAGGATTGCGTACCTCCCATGACCTGTACGAGAATTTCTCTGTCGATGCTCCCCTTGGTGTGACCGTCCGCGGTCATATCGCGGGTGTCACACCATTGAATACTGCGCACGATTCATCGCTCCATCATCTGTCGTATCCAACTGATGCGTCCTACAAGGGTACATCCAGTTGGATTCTTCAAGTCCCTGTTTGACAAGGACTTAAAAGCAGATTCAACATCTATGGTCAAAGTGACCTTGCTGCTCAGGCCACCCAACTCAAGTATGTCTTTCAACTGACTGGGAGTTAACGGCCCTGCGTGGAGTTCGTGCAGAATCACGATCGCGGGATAGCAGTCCTCGAAGTTTTGGGCTGCTGCTAATGCCTCTGTTGAATAGCTCGAGCGGACCTGCAAGCGGTGAGACTTGCAGTACGCATCGATCAAGTGAACGACAGGCTTGCCGGATGGCGTGCTTCCACGCCGTAGCAGGCTTGCCCCGCGAATACCATAGCCTTGAACTTCGCCATCGGCATCTCCACTCAGGCGTCGATAACCCGAGTCGCTGCGCAGGTCAACTTCGCCCGTGGGAGTCATCGCTTGGTAGACGATCTTCTCAGGGCAGGCCTGCAGTTTCCTGGCAATCGCGCTCAATCGTCGCACTTGTATGTTGGTCGGTTCTTGGACACGCTGTAGAGAGACAACATATACCATCAACCACACCTGGGTGATTAATGCATACGCCAATGCGCTTCTGAGGCTGACGAACATGTCTGCAACCATCTTGGATGCTTGGGCGGCAGCGTCGGCGCCTGAAAATTCAGGATGTTATATTGGACGGAGCTGTTTGGTGCATTCGTATTGGTCCAACGTAACACTGCCGTCCTCATCCTTGGTATATCTCACAGCACAATTGGTGAACGTGTGCTTGCTGAGATTACACTTACCAAAGTTGTCTTCTACGCACTTGACGCACTTGTTCACGGTGTCCTCTGTAACGGCCATATTAATGTCATCAACATGTTTGGCTGTGAGCAGGTTGCTGCTCGTCTCGAACTCCTCGTTGTAGGATGTGGGTCTGCGACCGAAACCTCGCGTGGTCCTTCTGAGCTTTAGTGAGAAAGCTCGAGGTGCGTCCTTGGTGCCAGTACCTGGCTTGAGGCACTACAAGCAGTGCTTCGACTCGTCGTAGTGCTCGAATCCTGGAAGAGTGCAGCCGATCCAGGCGGCAGAGTAAAGCACACCGCACGTTCTTTCTCACCAGTTGCGTCAGCATGTTCCTGGTAGGTCAACCCTTCTCAGGAAGGCCATGTTGATGTCGAGGGAAGCAATGATCCATCGCTTTTTGCACGCTGCCATGCTCGCGAGTAGTCTCTGGTTTGACCGCCGTGCTGTTCCTGAGAAGGCTTCCACGTCGAAGGCTTCAAGGTCCATGAAGCCTCGAAGCACCAGGCGTAATCTGATGGTACGTTTCATCTCGCTTTTCTCGTTTTTCACAAACTTCCACTTGTACACATACATCGAAGTCATGGTGTTTGACGCTGTAGATATATCGTGCATTTTGAAGTGCCCGCTGTCAAACCATGTCTTGAGTTCAGTGTATAGGGCTTTCGATATTCTGTCGGGACGACCACAGCTCGCTTTGCAACGGCGGCAATATATACTCGCATAGTGATAACACAGTCGGCATTTACTATCCTGCGCAGTTGTCCGGATGGAACTACCATTGACAGCTGCCGCAAAGCAGAGTTTTACATATTGTCCGTTTTCGTCTGAGTCCAGGTCCGTAACTGCAATCTTCGACCCATCTTCAAGCCATCTCGGGCCCTCGAGGGCCTCGCTGAGGCTGTCTTGTGGGCCTTTTTGGGCGTCCTGGGAACCCGGAAATCATGTTCCCGGAGACGCTTCCGGGAACGAGGCCCTCTTGGGCCTCCCTGAGGCCGCTTTGGGTGCCTCCTGGGTCGGCTTTGGGGCCTCTTGGGCCGTCTCGGGGGGTTCCGTGAGCCCCACAGGCCGACCCTTTTGGGCCGCCTGGGGCCCAATTGGGTCTCTCTTGGGCTGTGTTGGGTCTCCGCGGGGGCGTCTGGGGCACTGTGAAAACGAAGCAAGGGAGTATGCTGAAAATG